TATCTCCTTTAATCTCAGCCCTGACATCGCTCCCATCTGTCTCAAGCTGCGCCGAGTGCCTTTTGCACTCAAGCCTAAAATAGATGAACAATTAGACAAACTAATAGCGCAAGGCGTGTTAGAAGCCATCGATCATGCCTGTTGGGAGACCCCAATTGTCACCCCCATCAAACCCGATGGCTCCCTGAGAATTTGTGGTGACTACAAGGCCACCCTCAACCACGCATTGCAGCAGAGCGCCTACCCGGTGCCAGTAATCCAACATCTCCTGCACTCACTAGGGGATGGCAAGATCTTTGCAAAGCTCGACCTGGCTCAAGCTTATCAACAACTGCCAGTCGATGCTGAAACTGCAGAAGCCCAAACAATAGTGACACATAGAGGGGCATTCAAATGTAACCGGCTCCAGTTTGGGGTCAGCGTCGCACCGGGCATTTTTCAAAGTCTAATGGAGAGATTGTTGCAGGGAATTAAAGTAGTCGTGCCCTATTTCGATGACATTCTGGTAGCAGCCCCTACCAAAAAACAACTGAGGACGGTCCTACAGAAATTCAAAGACATTGGCTTCAAGATGAAAAAGGAAAAGTGCCAATTATGCACTGAAAGGGTTGAATTTCTTGGCTACCTCCTTGACAAACAAGGAATTCACCCCACAGATAAAAAATTGAAAGCCATCAAAAATGCCCCCAGACCAAAGAACAAAACGGACCTCCAAGCCTTCCTCGGACTCATTAATTTTTATAACATTTTTCTACCCCAGAAAGTGACTGTCGCAGAACCTCTGCATAGGCTCCTTGATAAAAAGGCTTCCTGGATATGGGAATGGCGAGAAGAGCACGCTTTTCACCAGATAAAAAACCTTTTGAGTTCAGACGCAGTCCTCATGCAATATAATGAAACGCTACCTCTGACTGTTACTTGCGATGCATCACCATTTGGGGTTGGCGCCATCCTGAGCCACATTTTACCAAATGGAACGGAAGCCCCCATTGCATTCTTTTCCAGAACATTGTCCAAGCCAGAGAGGAACTATAGCCAGCTGGACAAAGAAGCCCTTGCCATCGTTTCAGCAGTAAAGAGATTCCACGAATACATTTATGGTAGGACATTTTCCATTATTACAGACCATAAGCCCCTACTTGGCATATTGGCGGGTGACAAGCCCACTCCACACATCTTGTCACCTAGAATGACTAGATGGTCTGAATTTCTTGCTGCTTATAATTACAAATTGATACATTGCCCTGGCAAGACAATCCCACACGCCGACGCCTTAAGCCACTCCCCCTTGCCAGACTTGCAAGAGGACCCAGCACCCACATTATCAGTCTTCCAAATTGAAACGATCCCCATGCCACCAGTAACCGCGCAAGACATCGCCCACGAAACTAGGAAGGACAGACGCTTGGCGTGAGTTCTCAGCTGGGTGGAGAGGGGATGGCCAGAAACCGAGCCAAACGGACTTTTTAAACCATTTAAAAACCAGCAAACTGAACTCTTTTCGCAAAAAGGTTGCGTGTTGTGGGGAGATCGGGTAGTAATACCAGAGACACTACAGAAAAAAGTTTTAGACTTGCTGCATGACGGGCACCCTGGTATTGTGTGCATGAAAGCCCTGGCCAGGAGCTGCGCTTGGTGGCCAGGCATGGACAAGCAAATTGAAACCTGGCTCGCTGCTTGTAACAGATGCCAAGAGATTTGCTCGGCTCCCCCTAAGGCCCCACCATTAGAATGGGAAACACCCAGAGGCCCTTGGTTACGCATCCATATTGAATGGGAAACACCCAGAGGCCCTTGGTTGCGCATCCATATTGACTTCGCAGAGCCAACCAAGGGGCACACCTTCTTAATCACTGTTGACACTTATTCAAATTGGCTCGAGGTGAGCACAATGAAGACAACCACCACAGAAGCTGTCATCAAGAAATTAAATAGACTTTTCGCAACGCATGGTCTGCCAGATGTTATTGTTTCTGACAATGGGCCACAATTTACCGCCTTGGCTTTTGAACAATACTTGGCAGACCGCGGCATCCGACACGCATTGACATCGCCAGCTCACCCGGCGGTGAATGGTAGAGCTGAACGCATGGTTCAATTTACAAAAAAAACTGCACAAAATGGAACATGACAACATCCATGAGAAGATCACCAGGATGCTTCTCCTACAACATATCACACCAAATACCACCACCAGCAAGAGCCCAGCACAGCTATTAATGGGCAGAAGACTCAGGTCACTTCTAGACCACCTGCACCCTGCTTACACTCCAGAAAAACCCCTTGGTTCCAGTAGCAAGCACCCCGCCTTCAAGGTAGGAGACATTGTATTTGCCAAAAATTTTACAGGGGACCCACTTTGGATCCCTGGAAAAATCACCCAAGTCACAGGCTCCCGCTCCTACCAACTCGAGACCACCAATGGGAGGTCGTGGAAACGTCACATTGACCAGCTAAGATCCAGGCTGGCCGCTTCCCCCCTCATAGACTATAACCAAGAAATCAGAGGGGGGGGGAACCTCAAGTTCAGAAAATGAACGAACATCTGTACAAGTAGAACACCCCCCACAGACATTAAACAAAAACCAACAATACTTACCAGCCAGAAGGGAGTCGTGGCAGACGGGCACTTCGCCTGGAAGCAGCGGCCAGACAAGCTCCACCAGCCCAGAGAGCCCAGGCGGGAGCAGCAGAGCAAACGACTCAACCGACCTGGAATCACCAGGTGGGAGTCTCCGCCAGAGGACCAGCTCACCCTTCCAGGCAGTTCCATCTTGCAGCTTGAGAGTGACGCAGAGCCCGCCCGAACCCGATGGTGAACAGAGACACTGTGAACTGTGCAAGTCTAGTAGGCAGGTACAAAGACCCGCCTACTTGCGTGATTACGTTACCCCGCCCCTTGGACGGAACCAAGAGGGGAGGGGTGTTCCATACTAGCAGGCTTGTAGGTCTGCATTCCTATTGGTCCGGAAAAGCCGGGCCGTGATTGGACAAAACTAAACGTTCTGATTGGTTCTTATTCGGCTGCTGCGATCGGGTAAGCTCAAATGCATGTCATAGGCTGCCTAGCCACAGCCAGCTCTATAAAAGGAGCTGCCTCGGCTGGGAGTTTTTTGTCTCAGTATCTGGTTTCCTAAAACCAATCTGGTATCCTATTTCGAGTCTCGTCTCTCCTTGTGACCCACTGCCCAGACTTAACACCTGGATTTATCAAATTAAAAATATTGTAACATCTTAAAAATATAATTTCCCCCCAACTATTTGTTAGAGTTTTTTATGTACTGGGTTAAACTTAACCAAACATAAATTGGCCTATTTTCTAAAGTTCAATGCATTTATGAAAAGAGAAGAATTAACAAACACTAATTTAAGATGAGCATGGTTGTTGGCTTCACTGATACTTTGTTTAATCCATTTCTCAGTTGTCTTTTATTATGATCAAAATTAGTTCACAACGCAATGGTGGAACAGTTTATGGAAGCAAAGAATAATTTATAAAAAATACTTTAAAAGAAAAGAGGTTAAGTTATCATCGTGCTTTAATTCACATGGCTTGTGGATCAGTCCCATGGAACTTGATGGAATTTCAAGAGCAGCCACTTCTGCTGCTGCCAAAATTTGTTTCAAGCAGGATTTTCCTCTCATTTTGTTTATTTCTGATGTAGTAGAGTGTTTGTGTAGATTTCAGTTTTACAGAAACTTTCACAAGCCATTTTACAAGTTAACACTGGTTAATGGAAGCTAGAAAGCCATTTTACTGTAGCATTGTTGATCACCCAAAAATGCATTTTGACAAATAATTATGTGAGGTTCTATATAGGAATATGCCATGCACAATATTTTTTTCACAAAGATGTTCAGTTTTTAATTTTTAATTGCAGTCCATGACCAGAAAACAAAAAGCAATAGAAAAAAGTATTACCCAGGTCATAATCAATTATAGCTGTGCCAGAAAGATGGCAAATTTACAACACACATTAAAAACTCTTGAGCCATACAATTTTTTTCCTGTTGTAGGAAGTTAGCATCCAACCCTCCCCTAGAAAATTGAAATATCCTAGGAAATATTAAAAAGGCAGAATATTTCCCCTAAAAATAGTAGAAACTCAAGAGTAGAAACAGAAGCAGAAGCTCACCCCCACCTTTGTTAATGGGTGGGCCATTAAGGCCTGGGCCAGAATACTTTACAAAACAAAGATCTCCAGGTAAAACCATACCAATTGCTCAAAAGCCCTTTCAGTGCATCATCATCCAGCAAGGCTCAACCACGCCTGGAACACAGGACAGCCTACAGAGTTGCCCCTGCATGGCCCCATGGGAATCTGACAACCAATCAGAATACAAGCTTCAATTCAAATCCCAACAAAGGTTATAAAACCCAGGCACTCTCAGCATATCAGTCCTTCCTTCTCTTTTCCTTCACCTTGGAGCATGTGATCATCCTTCTTTGGATCTTCAAGCCATGTGGTCCTGCTGTCCACCATTAAACCATCTTTCCTAACAGCCTCCTTGTTTCCATTGTCTTTTTCCCTACTTCGAACTGAACCCAGAAGGATATTTCTTCCAACACCGTCTTATCCCCTTTTTTGAGAGAGTTGCCCTCAGCTATGTTTTTGTCTTAGTTCTGCCCATTTTATTTTAATGTATCCATCAACATAACATCAATGATATCTTTGGTCTGAAAGAAATGTTCTATTGAAATTGAAAACAAGGTTATTGTCCCAACTGGTGACAGCTGCCTGAATCAAAAGTAAAACTTTTTTTTCCAAGCAAAATTTTCATAGGCATTGAAAGTAAGAATGTTACAAAATTGCACCACATAAACTCTTATCTTTAGAATCAAAATAAATCTTTGTACATTAGAACGTCTGATTGTTATTTTTCATAGCTTCATTGTGGTATGGCAAGGTTGATTTCTCAGATGGGGAGGGGAAGGGGATCTTCACTCTGATTTTAGGTAAGTAGTCACTTAAATATGTATCAATTTGAGAAACAGCCTTCACAGTTGCCCATTGCTTTGTTGCTGTTACTGTAAATGGCTCTGGAGGAAAAATCAAAAGATTTCTTTGCCATCTTCTCTTCAGCTGCAGGCAGTGATATTCCATGTCTTTTTCCAATATACAAATTACATATGGGGGGGAAATGTTCATGTTCTTCTCAGTACTCTTAACTCATTGCTTTATCTACTCCTTCCTATGAATTGCCCAGTCCTGCATTCTGATTTTATATGATGTGAATTTAATCCTTTTTCATTCTATAACCTTCAAGCTCTGTAGATTTGTTTGAAAGGTAATGTTTTTCCCCTCTGAAAAGATCTTTCCTTTGGTATTGATTCGCTTAATGACTCATTTGGCATGTTTACATGTCTGACAATGTTTCTAGGTTTCTTGTATAAAGGTGGCAAAGTATTAATAGGAGGCGTGAAATGAAATGATGGCATTCCCTTTGGTGGCAATCTGTTACTTGTCAGTTCTGCTGGGTAGTTTGAAGTTGATAAGTAATAGTTTTGCAAACTTGGTGCAGCGCTTGAAGTTCCATAAATTGGCTGAGACCAGGTGTTAACAAAAGGCAATTTCATTCCTGTTATACTGCGAATTTGTGTTGCATTTTTTTTGTCAGCCAGGGTTCTTATAGGCAAAATTGGCTGGTAGAATCTTGCTTGTGGCATAGAACTCACAAAATTATAGAGGAGGGAATGCCAAAGTCCACCACAGAGGGGATTCAGTGTCACCTGAGGCCACATGCTGGCAAGACTCTGCAAGGCTTCACAATTCCAGGTGGACATGGGGAAATCCTCCTCTGTGTGATACAGCTGTGAGAAATAAATGCAGAGCGTGATGTCTTGATGCTTCATTAAAAAACTGTAAATTTTGCTTATGCACCCATGCTCTGCCTCATTACAAGGAGAATAATTTGAATAAAGAAATATATATGCAATGTTCCCCCAATTGTGTACAACTGAGTCTAGATAACCATCCGTTTCAAATAGCATTGCTTCTGGATGGATGTTATATTCTTCACAGTTTGTAACTTGGCCCTTTTGAATTAATTTACCTGATACATCTCTCAACTCATAAAAGAGAAGGTGTTTATTTTGGTAATCCATTGGCCCATATGGGAATCCAAAAGCCTTTTGAAATTCTGTGTAAGAAACTCGTGCTGCTTCCCCTGTTTGTATGTGATAAGGACATTTAGTACAATTTTGGCTCATTGTTAGCCAGTAATATGGCTTCACTATTGTACCTCTTTGTGTTAGGTATTCTTGGCAAAATGGTATTGTTTCTAAGTCCATTATGTGTGAAAACCTTGAAAGCTGACAGTCCTGAAACACAGAGAAGAAATTCCGAATAGTTATTTCCCTGTTTGTTTAGAAGTTTTGAAATTAAAATCACATCTACATTACAAATTCAAACCAACCATATATTGAACTCCATATGAGAAGAAGCTAAGAACAGTTTCTGTTTTTATATTAATGAAGGGGTTTTTAGAGAACCCTAGACTTTATGTAATTGACCATTTCCATGGAAGTGAAGAAATATAAATTACTATACTTTGTATTTTAACATATATCCTGGAGCTGTGAGGCATTTCACATTCGTTTACAAAACATTGGTTTTGTTTGGACCATGTGCCAAGAGCATAGCAGCCACTTGCAAGTCTTTAAATCAGCTGTGTACTTGTGCAGCATAGTACACTTGTCCCAATATATCTATCCCAATAAAACTCTAAAAACTTCACCTTGAATTTTTTCAGCCTTTCCCGGCTATAATGTTATTTTTTAAAATGGTTAGATTTGGGTCTGAATGTGAGACTGTTATGTCAATAGAAAGGAAGGATTTTTCCCCAATCTTTTCACCAGCTGTGTCCTCTAAGAGGCATTTGTATTCTGTGTAGTGTAGTAAAGAGTGTGGGTGTTTCTGCTCCCTCCTTGTGTTGCACCTTTGGGTATAGATGCATACTGAAAAGCACAGGATGGATTACATATTGTGGAGTCCTTGGTGCTCTCTGAGCTTGGTTTTTGAGCTTGCAGATATTTCATTACCAATTAGGTTAAATCATACTGCTAGTGGGTTTACTCCCTGTTTATATACAGCAGATTCCCCTAACAGTATTAGTAAGGATGCTTTTTTTCTTCCTAGTGGTTCCTTGATTATGGTATTGGTTCCTGCTTGATTGTCTGGTGCTAATCCCCACTTATCTGGATATTGACTGCTGGAGAGCTTGTGTTCAAGCCTTCTTAGTTTTTTTAGCTTAGTCTTTTTGAATGGTGTATAAATGTGGTTTATTTCTATGTGACTATTGATGGCTGAAGGGACATGGTGGCTCAGTGGCTAAGACACTGAGCTTATCAATCAGAAAGGTCGGCAGTTCGGTGATCTGAATCCCTAGCACCGTGTAATGGAGTGAGGTCCCGTTATTTGTCCCAGTTTCTGCCAACCTAGCAGTTTGAAAGTATGTAAAAATGCAAGTGGAAAAATAGGGACCACTTTGGTGGGAAGGTAACAGCATTCCATGTGCCTTTGGCATTTAGACGTGCTGGCCACATGACCACGGAGATATCTTCAGACAGTGCTGGCTCTTCAGCTTTGTAATGGAAATGAGCACACACACCCAGAGCAGGAAACGACTAGCATGTATGTGCAAGGGGAACTTTTATCGAATGATGGCTGACTAACTATTCTGAAATGTCAAGCTTCCAGGAATTCCCTAGTATTTTTGTATTTAGTTTGGTCTAGAACACCCACAGTTTCCCATCTGAAACTGTAGTTGAATTTGTCCTTATGTTATGAGATTAAGATTTTTTTTATCATGTCTTATGACTGCTAGTTGGTGATCATGGTGGTCAAAAAACTCTGCTAGTGTTTTGCTTCCCTATCCTGCATTTTTCTCTTACAATTATTTCTACCTTCCTTCTACATCCCCAGAATCAAGGCTGTTGAAGAATCTCCTGGATCCAGAATTGAGATATCTAGGCTAGAAGTCAACATCAAATTTTTGGTTGCCTTTTTCCTATCGCTGTTAGACCTACATTTTCTGCAAGTTGCATTCATTGAAACTGTATAAAATTGGCTGGTGTGCGTGTATGTGTGTTGTGTTGTGGTGAGGGGTGTCAAGACCCACAGGCTGGATCCAGCTTGGTATGTGGTTGGATCCTGCCCATGGGGCCGTCCTGGAAAATGTAAGGAGCTGGCTCGCATCACTTAGGCCCAGTCTCGTCAATACAAAGAGGAAACACTGGGCCTGCGTCGCTTTGGCCCAGTCTACCCAATGCAAAGAGGAAACATACCAGCTGTTTGGGGAGTGCTGTCAAGCTGGCCATGCCCACCCAGTTGGCCACCCTCATCCAGTTGGCCATGCCCCCCCCCACAGGTCAACCTCAGCCCTGACACAGCCCTCAATGAAATTGAGTTTGACATCCCTGGTGTGGTGGATGGTGATTTCCTCACATCTCCTTTTTACTACAGTAATTACAGAAGCTCTTTCAACTTAAATAAATTTGCTGAAAAGAAACACAATAAATTATGGTGCCAATTAAGAAATACAGTCTTTATCAAAAAGACATTTTGCCATTTAGGTATTCTCTGAAGAATAAGAAAGAAAGGGATTCTACTTTCAATGCCTAACATTTTACTTTTTGTTCTGTTTTGAACCAATTAAGGCTTTGGGATAGCATGCTGCTCTTTTAAGATACAGTGCTACTTCTGGAATTCCTTATGCTATTTTCTCAGCAAGAGTTCTGGCTCCATTAAGAGATCCCAGAGCTTCCTTATTCCTTATTCTCTCAAATATACAGTATTATTAGACTATGATAGTGGGAAAGAAACTGTGACCTCTCTGCCCCACAGGGACTTCTGTAGTAACTCACTATGTAATATATCCCATCATTTGACTGATTTCAACATCTTGATAAGTTGCATTTGTATGTTTTTCATTTGGTGGAAAAATATTGGTAACTTACAACTTTTCCTCCTAAATTGAGCAGATAAAAGCTGGCAAAAACATTAAGTAGTCTCTCCTTCCGCCTCTGAATCCAATTAAATGGGAAGTTACCTATGAACCTCCCCCTCCCATACATTATTGTAACTATTTGAAATATGTTTAACCCTGAAGTCACTTGAATTCTTACAGAATGACAAAATGTGTATAATAAAATCAAAGCTTTCTTCCGAGAAATAAGATATGCTTTGTTGTTCAGAAACTAAGCACAGCACATATATGTAATATTGAGCTTTACTTACTGTCAAAATTTCTTGAGGCCAGAATAGCAGTAACAGTTAATCTCAGCCACAGCCTTACTTGAATCCTATTTTCAGTGTCCTGAGAAAGAAAGAGAATAACCCTTCCAACTACTTATTTTAGAAGACCTCAACTTGTTTCTAATAAATTTTCTTGTAGCTTGACAACTTACATGTGTGGTGAATAAACGTGTTGTATTGACAATTTCAAGTGCTAGGTTACCTAGATAGAAACAGCAGGCTTGTTCTTCTTTGTTGCTTGAAAGACTTGTTAGATCAGTTCCTGTGCCTGTTAGAAACTTGATCACTATTGCCAAATGTATTCAGTAACATCAGTTTACTTGAAAAATCACAACTTGGTAGAGCAGGTGATGAATGGATCTAATAATGCTGTGTATGTGGATCTTATGGAACCCCATAGTTTATCAAGTGGCTCAGAGAGCTGAGGAGATATAAGAGACGCCTAGAGCGGTGATGGAGGAAGACAAAGAACAAGATTGACACCCAGCACTACCTTATGGCAATACCTGTATTGGGCTTAGCTTGTGGCAATAAAACGATGAAATAAAATTACTTTGCCTTATTATATTTCAGGTAGTTTACCAGCAGCTCTGTTTTGGGTAAGCATGTTCCATCCTAGTTGAGAAGGAGCAAGGATGCCCTTGGCAGGATTGCTGTGAAAAATATTCCTGGCATCTATCAGAGGAAGCTACTTGACTTTGCTTGGACATAGAATCTGGCTGGGGAGAGATGATGGATATGCATCTGAACCTTGTTATCTGGGAGGAGTTAGAGCCAGTTGCTCTTGAGAAAGTGGTCCTTAAGGCTGTGAACTTGGCACCTATGTTCTGGATCGATGCCAGTCTTGGCTGGGAGTGGGTTGGGCTCAAGCTGTGATTAATGCCTCTTCACTAGAAGGGGTAGTACTAACTGCCCTGAAGGAAGCGTTGGTGTCTGTCCGTCCTCAAGAGGCCATCCTTGGGCCACGGTATTTGACAACTTTCATGTAGTGAAAGTTCCATTTTGTGAAAATTCCAACTTTCCATTTTTAACTTTCAGTTTATCAGAATGTTCTTTATGCAGCCATCTGGTTTCTTCTTGGGTTTCTTATTTTTCTTTTTTAGTGGCATTGTGGTGGACTGGGATTTTATAATCACATTTTTCAGAGTTTTCCAAGCTTCATGAGCTGTTTTCCAGACTCCTTCCTTGTTTTCCATGGAATCCTCCCCAGTCTCTCTTTTAAGTTTGTTGAATTCAGCTCTTTTAAAGGCTAAGACACTAAAGGTAGTCTTTGACTTACAGCAGTTCATTTAGTGACCATTTGAAGTTACAACAACATTGAAAGAAGTGACCTATGATCATTTTTCACACTACAGTATCCCCATAATCATGTGATTTACATTTGGATGCTTGATAGCTGGTTCATATTTATGATGGTTGCAATGTCCCAGGGTCATGTGGTCTTGCTTTTGCGATCTTTTGACAAGCCAAGTCAATGGGAAATTCACCTAACAACCATATTACTAATTTAACAACTTCAGTGATTCACTTAACAAACATGGCAAGAAAAGTTGTCAAATGGGGCAAAACAAACTTAACAAATTTCTCACTTAACATAAATTTTGGGCTTAATTGTGATCATAAGTCAAATGAATTGAATTATATTGAATGAGGAATGGGAGTAATTACAAAATTCTTTGACATGCCTTTGGATACTTTTTTGGTCAAATTTTAAGAGAGAGTTGGGGGGGGGGGATTTTGTTTTTGTCCTAAATTATTTCCATATTGATCCTTAACACAACCCCAAACTTCAACAAATAACAATTTCAGGATGTTGGGAACCAGCATATGAGACATAGGTTGTCCACCTGTGTTTTGTTGCATGATGTAACAATGGAGTGTTGAATATTTTGAAACCACATGGGTTCAGTTTTCATACACCAAACCAAAGTCAAAACAAATCATGTATGTCATG